CCCCCCATATATATATTTAAATCAACTTTGAGGTCTAATTTGCACCAAAGAAAATGCATCCATCTCAGGAGAAGCTGTTGACAAATGTAGGCACTTGTGTAACCACTGCCAATCAAGATATGGAATAGTGCTAACACTCTAGAAAGTTCCCTCGTGTCCCTTGGCAGTCAACCCTCCCTCCTCCCAGACCTTCAGCTCCAAGCAAATCTGCTGTCTCTACAGATTTAAAGTTAAGCTTGTTCTAGGATTTCATATAAAAGAGAACCGCACAGTACGTACTGTTCGGTGTCCGCTTTTTCAGCTGAGTATAAGGTTTTAAAGACTCACGTTGCTGCATTTACCAGCAGATCTTTGCTTTGTGGGACTGTATCAGGACTGGTTATCTCCTCTCTAGTGGGTGATACTAGTTATCTCCAGTTTGGGGCTGTTACGAATATAGCTGCTGTGAACATTTGAATACGAGTCTGTGTGTGGGCACAGGTTTTCATTTCTCTTGGGTGCCTGAGGGGTAGGATTACCTGGGGGTTGTACTTGGTAAAGATACGTTTAATTTATAACAAACTGCCAAACTGTTTTCCAAAGCAGCTGTCCTGTTTTACAGTCCCGCCAGAACACGAGTTCTGGTTGCTCCATGTCCTCAACGACACGTGGTGTTGCCAGTCTTTTTACACTTTGGTAATATTGAGCTTCCTTCATGAACTCATGGGCTATATGGTATATCTCCTTCTGTGATTCCGATACCGATGGTCCAGATTCCATATTTAGAGAAACCCCACCTAAAACACCCATGCCCACAGGACAATTTTTTAAGTGATGATTTAAATGGAAAATCTAAGTTATCTCCCAACTTGGTGTGAAATAGGGTGTCTCAGTATGTAGAATTTTAAAGGTGACATGAATACCCATATGCTCTCTACCTAGAGCTAACAACTGTTAACATTTTGCCATTTACTGTTTATGTGTATATGGAAAACTGAACCATTTGAAAATGTTAAAGACACTTCACCCGTAAATACTTCAGCATGCAGCTCCTCGAAATAAGGAAATTCTTCTGTGTAACTGCAATTCCATTACTTAGTAAATTAGTGTAAAGTTCATATTCAATCCATGTTCCAATTTCCCCAGTTCCACTATTTTAAACAAAAATCAGGGTTTAAGCATTATCGGTCATTTCTCTACTCTTTTAATCTAGAACTTTTTTCTGTAACATCATTTTTTTTTTGATCCTTGTCCGAGGATGTTTTTATTGGTTTGAGAAGGGGGCAGGGGGAAGACAGAGAGAGAAAAATCGATCTGTTGCCTCCCCTATGCACCCTGACCAAGGATCTAACCCCCAACACAGGAATGTGCCCTAACTGGAAGTCGGACCCGCCACCTTCTGAAAAGCTGTAGCTTTTTTTTTTTTTCTCATTATGTTCTTATTGATTTCAGGGAATGGAGAGGGAGAGAGAGAAACATCAATGGTTAGAGTCACTGATTGGCTGCCTCCTGCACATCCCCTACTGGGGATCAAGCCTGCAACCCGGGTATGTGCCCTGACTGGGGATTGAACCTCGATCTCCTGGATGACTGGTCGATGCTCAACTGCTGAGCCCCACCGGCCGGGCTCTTGCATTTCCTTTTTGAAGGGACCAGGCCGGCTGCCTTGTAGAGGGACAGCTATGCTGGATTTGTCTCCTCCTATAAACTGGAAGTCAGACTTGATTCAATATAAACATTCTTGACAGGAATACATCATCATACTGGGTATTTCATATTTTATCACCTGATAGCTTTTAACATTGTTTTCAAGGAAGTTGTACCAAACTTTCTAAAAAATAAATCAGGGCACTAAAACATGTAATCCATATATCCCAATTTGGAGAAGCATGGGCTTTTCATGTTCTCTGCTTCAGAGGCAGTGTAAAAGTGAGACTATATGGTACAGTACTACAGCTATTATCCCACCTTCAATGATTTGGGCCTTTTCTGTTCCCTCTTGGGACATTCCTGTTGGTCCTACCTTGCCTCTCCCAGCCCAGGACACACCTGTCATAATGTTGTGCCAGAGCCTCAGGCTCAGAATCAAAAAGATGTTGGCAGACTCTGTTGCAAGTTTGATTAGTCACTTGGCACTACCTGGTTCCCTCCTCTGTGAAATGGGCGTGACGGTGGGACACGATGCTGCCAGGCCCACCGATGCATGAATCAAATGACAGCACGTGGGCTAATGCAAGTAGGCAACGAGGCACTTCAATAACTCATCCCACACGCTGGGCATCGGCTGTTTCCACGCCAGGCTCGGAGGATGCTGAAAACAAGGCTCGTTCTCTGCCCCTGCGCTCCACCCGGCTGCCAACATTCAAGTGTATCCAGGCAAAGGAATCCCTGGGGACACTGGGGTGCTCCCCCTCACCTGCCCCACCCTCCTGCTCCCACCCGCGGGGCAGACCCGTGGTCTGGCAGTGACCCAGTTTGGGGCTGAGGATGAGCACCTGACAAATCATACCAACATTGCCATCCCAGCCTCCTGGTCAATGTTTGGTTCAGGGGCCCAGGCCTGAGCCAACCAGGAATGTCATTCTTCTGCCCACTTTGGTTGGTTCCCAAATGGGAACATGAACCAAATCTGGGTCACAGAGATGTGAGGAAGATTGCCTGAGGCCTCTGGACAAAGTTGCCTTGCTCTTTGGACACAAAAGAATAGTTTCGTCTGGATATAAGGCTCAGAATGGGGCTGTCACATGGAACTCAACCATGGGACCCAAGGGACCCTTCATTGTCCAAGCCCATCTGAGTTGGATCTTCTGTTACAGGCAGCCAACAGTATCCAGAGACAGGAGGGCACTATGGTTGGGACTTGGAGAGCCACTCTGACTTCTGGAAGGCCTCACCTCCTTGCTGGGCCCGACTGGGAGCCCAGTTCTGAGAGTCTGAACGCCTTGCTCTCGGCCTAAGCCCTACTGAGCTGGCCAGCATTGGTTTGGCCTGATCCCCAGGTGTGCTTGTGGAACCAGAACCTCTGACATCCTGGTCCCTCCTGGTACCTGAAAATCATGCAGACACACCAAACATCTGTTGGCCCCAGTACCCCACCAAGCCCTGCTCACCTGCGGCTCCAGGACCTTTCTGCTGGTAGACCCCTACCTAGTCCCTGAGCCAGCCTTTGCCATCAAAACTCTGCTCCCTCCGCCGTCCCTAACTCCCCTGAGGTTGGGATTACTTTTTCCAATTACAACAGGCAATGGAAAGAAAAACAGGACAACTTTATATTCTTATTTATACCCTGGGGAAACTTAAATATCAAGTCAGAGTATAATAAAATCATGATGTAAATGGCTTTGTTTTTTTAGGTAGGAAAAAGAGACAATGTTTTTAAAAATATTTAAGTCAGTTTACAGCATGCAATGATGGACCAAGGCTCTGAAGGTTCTCAGGTGTGCCGGCCATCAACCTCGAGAGAACTGAGGATGGTCCCAGGTAAGGGAAGGCATTCAGGCTCAGGGCAGCAGTTCATTACCGATGGAAGGGACATGTTTCAATGGTTTAACAGAACAGTTATCCCAGTACATACCAACTGAATATCCACGTTGGACATGTACACATGAAAAAAAAGTATTATTTACTTGGATTTTTAATGAAAACCCTACAAACATTTCTGGTTTTTAAAACTGTCACCAACATTTATTTATAGAAATGTATATAAACTACCACTTTGGAAGGTACCACATTGAATGAGAAATTACCACATTGAGTGACATGAGTGTTTAACTGTAATATAGGCTTGGCTATGCTTCAAAGGGCTAATTTTGAAAACGATTATTAGTTTATGAGACTCTTAAAATGAAACTTGGGAGAAAAAAACAACTTGGGGACGATTAAGAAAAGTTAAACATTAGTGTCAGGATAATTACAAGAGAGGTAAGAAAGTCTTGAAAAAACAAGTCTACTGAAAATGGTTTTTTCCTTTAGTTTCAGCTGCTGCTGCTGATACATCTCAGCAAAGCAGCTTCAGGGGGATGCCTGATGTAAGCAAAATGAAAACCCTACTGAAGGACACTATGCATGACATCCCAGAGGATCAAATGGTTTTGCAAATATGTGACTAGACATATACTTTCTATTAGTCACCAAATGACACAGAAGTACCAAAAACTGTGTATGAAAAACAAATACTGAGATTTTAGGGTTATTCTGAGTGGCTGCCCCGGCCTAAGAATGATTATTTAAAATGTAGACTATTTACCCCAAGCCTAAACACTAGTAGCGGTATCTAAGCAACAAGATTGTTCTAGGTTTTTAAAAAAGGGACCATTCACTTAAAGCAGCATGCAGCTGAAGTGCTCCACCACGGTGTCCAGCTTAAGACTACTGTCCTTTACTGGCCATCACTGACCTGGTGGCGGTTTAGCAGCTTGTACCACCTATGAATCACAACTGCAGTAACAGGTAATGGTACAGATATTTGTACAATTAGACAGAGCACAAGTATTAAATTCCAAGTATACAAACATAATGCTAAAACAGTTTCCAATCACATTTTGGAGTTTGGTATCTAACTCCAAATAATATATCACTAACCATTATGGATTGGGCCCCAGTCTTCCTTGAACCTACCAACTTAACCTTCTTGATTGATATTACTCCACAACCTAAGGTACTAAATCCAAAGTGCTTATAAGAGTTTAAGAGAACAGTTTAAGACCACTAGGAACAAAGTAGATACAAAACAAGTCCTCATCAACCAATGATGCAGACGGGTTTCAGATTTACACTATTAATTCAATGTAAGACCTGCATTCCTCTGTAACATCCAATTTGTCACACTTAGGGGGACAAATCAAAAATAGTTCTTGAGCCCGGCCGAGCGTGGCTCAGCGGTTGAGTGTCGACCTGGGATCCAGGCAATCAGGGTTCGATTCCCGGTCAGGGCACATGCCCGGGTTGCGGGCTCCATCAATGACTCTCTCATCATTGATGTTTCTATCTCTCTCTCTCCCTCTCCTTTCCTCTCTCTGAAATCAATAAAGATATATTTAAAAAAAAAAAAAAAAAATTCTTGAAAGGTGGTCTCAGTTAACTATACTCAGACACTAATTTTATTATTTAACGTATTTTTGTTCCTCAGACTTTAAGTGATACCTGTTTAAACTCATAGTGTGTGTGTGTATATATATATATAGCTTTTCAATGCAGAAACAGTCTCGTTACATTGGTTATACCATGTTTTTATTTCAGTTTGCTGAATGAGGAGAAATACAAAACAGAAACAAATGAAAACCCCAATTTCTTCTGCAGGTCCAGTCCGTCTCATAGCAGTTGTTACACACAGCCCCGAAGCAGCTAGAATACAGTTGGCAAAGACCCAGGTGGAACAGTTCATCTTGAATCTTCGCAAGTATATGTTGATTTCCTTTGGTGCCTTGCACAGTAAGGCACTATAAATGACATACAGAATAGAAGAAATGCCCACAGCAAATAGTTCTAGTGACAATTTACTAGACAAGTTACAGTTTAATGATGGTGGTGGCGATTGTTTCTTTCATTTTATTATTATTTTTTACAATAAGGATGTAGCCTTTATATTCCACACACACAAAATAAAACAAGAAGTGCTTATGAAAAAGTCCCTGCCCCCACCCCCTTTTCAAAACACCCGAACGAAGCAAGTCAATACAACAGAAAAATCAAGACTTGTTTGATTTCAAATTGTCAATAAAAAAGCAAAGTATGTAATGCAACAGCTGTTCAACTTTCAACTCTAAAAAAACCCCAAAACCTCCCAGTATTTAAATTTCTCCAGCACACATTCCAGTATAAATGCTCTGAACTGTAATCAGCTAGTAAGTAACGGGAACAGAAACTTAGAACAGAACCTTAGAACAGAAGTTATATTGCTTCCCTACCCCTCTTTCTCTTATAATGAGGGTGGGATGTATTAGGGGATACAGTCAGAGGAAGAAGAATTAAAAAGGAAAATTCCCAAAGCTGCGCTGTTTGGACTAGAAAGGAAGACAGCATTTTTACAAATGTTCAAAAAATTCCAAGGCAAGTTACACAATTCGTTCACTGTCACACCTACTAGAAAGAATAAAGATGTTCATGTCTTATAGAAAACTGTACTTTCAGAATTGTATTACAGGTTCACCAGAAACTATGGATGTAGTTTAGGCTTCATCAAGGAACACAAGTTCAGTTCAGATCAGTTAGATACTGCAGTTAGATCTAGCCTAGCTGGATCGGTGCCTGGAACTGCTCCCTGCGTCACCCCGAACAGCTGTAAACTAAACAATAGTATGTAACTCCATAGGAAGCTTAAGGATTGAGGATATGTACACAGCTAAATTATATCTCCCCTGCTTCGCGCTCTTCAGAGCTCCTCCTGTCTTCTGATCTGCCATTAGCGCTCTCATAGGACCGCTTCTTATCTTTTCGATCTCTGTCACGAGGTGATCTGTCTCTTGAATTCCTGTCTCTGTCACGTGATGCTAAGTCTTGGTCTCTGAATCTTTCTTTTGAGGATCTGAAAAATATTAATTTGAGGAGCAAAATGTGTTGGGAAACCCAAAATCCAAGTGAAAGAATCGGATAAATATTAAGGTATTGATAGCTGAAGATATACAGAATACATCCAAGAAAGACAGGAGTCAGTTTTCTGACAGAAAAGAGCACTACCATATTTGATTAGGGTCTAAAACAAGGACATGGGTGAAAACAAATAGCTAAGGGTCAAAAACCATATGCTAGAATGATGACTTATAGGACATTCTCATTGTCTCAGAGGCAGCAAAAAAAGCTTCTCCAATTCATAGCAAATGCGTTTAATGTAAGAATTATAGACAACACGTTAAAAAAGCAAAAGGTATTATCTAATTTTAAAATATATAATAGAATGTAGATTCCAAATAGGATGGAAATCAATGTCTTAAATAGGGGGTCTGCAAACTTTTTTTTGCTGTCTGGTCGGAGTAAATATTTTAGGCGTTGAGTTCACATACAGTCTCTGTGGTATTCTTCTTCCGTTTCTTTTTACCAACCCTTTAACAATGTAAAAACCATCCATAGCTTGCTGCCTATATAAAAACAGGCTAGGGGGCCAGAATTGACCTGCAGGCAACTTACATAAGAGAACTACTCATTTAATGACATGGTAACCATTTATTATTTGAAAAATCTGCTTTACTCCTCCTGAGTTAGCTCATTTAACCAACAGAAAAAAATCAGAATGGAAGACAGAGGAAGATAATCACACTTAATAAATCTTCATTAACCAAAACTGTTTCTTAATATCGCCTCTCTGTTCCCACACTCAACTTCAATAAGGTAAATAATAACAAAACAAGCTCATATCAAAGATTCAATCAGTAGGAAAACCAAAGGATATTATGGGATCAAAATTCATATGGAATCTTCTATACTTTCAACATCTAGAATGAATCAGTAACACATACTACATTCATTTCATTCTTTACAGGTGACATGATACTTTTACATAATTATCTCACTTAACTCATGTTCAAAATTTGGATCTGAGGCCTGATTAAGTAATACTTTCAACTTCTAAGGCGGGGGAAAAACTACCACTATACTCAGTTAAGGAGGATTAAACCAAAACGGTTGAAAGATAAAGTAACGTCAACTTCAAGCATTCTGCTTAAGGTTTTAATAAGCGTAATTTAAAAGTGCTGTGTAAAAAGAAATAAAAAACACACACAGTGCACATCTGATTACACTAACCCTACCCATAAATCTTCGTGAGAATGAATATGAAGAGAGATGATGGCTAAGAGGCCAGTGAGAAATGAAAATCAACTATGAGATGGGCATCACCCAATGCTCTGTGAGGGGTTACAATGTCTATACACAAGCAGTTTCCACTCACTATTTCACTCAAGCTACCAACAATCCTAATGAAGCAGGTACTCTTACTATCTCTACCTAGGAGACGGGGAAAGAAAGGTTGGGTAATGATTACTCAGCCCAGGCCACCAAGTCCAAGTAGTCTGACTCCGGGGTCTGCACTATGTGTTTGAACAGAGCAGGAAGCAGGAAAATGCAAATGGCCCTCATTTACAAAGGGAAACTGTTGCAAAGGAAAGGTCACAAGTGGAATCTACTTATATCAGAGACCAGTATTTCAGCTGGGGCAGGAGAACAGCAAATAGTTAAAGACTCTTTTTAACTGAGACCTCTTCCCTTGAAAATTAAACTCAAATATGTAGCAATAACTTCGTTATTGTATATGTAATAACATGTAGGTTTTAATAGCAACTGTCTGACGATTTTTGGTAAAAACAAGGACTGCTGCTTTGAAAGAGAGTAATCTGAATATCAAGATTAGAAGTGCTCTAGAGAAAAGCAATACTTTTGAAAGCTTTACAAAAATAATCCTCTTTAGGAACATACTGAACACTCAGAAGAGGTACCATGTGTATGGTGAGAAAATGTCCTATACAACTTCATAAATGCAGGAAGCATTAGGGACTAGGACAACACAATCTCAGATGAGTATCCCTTCCATCCCACCACCAGTAGACACTTAAGAGGTGCTAGACACCAGAAACAATAAAAGGTGGGCAGGCTCTCCAAAGAAATTGTCTAGACCTTCCATCAACCTGCAGAATGATTCCCAAAATTGACAGTGCAGTAAGATTCATGTAGAAATTTTTTAAATGCACTTTTCTGGGCACTGTACTACAGTTTTAAGAATTTGAGACAAGTGGCCTATAAATCACACTGTCAGGAATTGGCCTTTGTAAGTTCCCGGCTTGTTCTCTGCATTTGCCTGATAGTCACTCTATAATATCTTTTTCCTGCCTGGTTTTACCTATTCAAATGATATGTACTTTATTCGAGTTGTATCTACTACCTGAAGCCATTTTTTATTGCTCTGGAACTTCCCACATCTACACGCCCATATTAGTTACTCTATGATATACAGTTTAGCACTTTATAATGTTAAGTTTTATATCAGTCTATTGCCAAAGATGTTAGTCCTGTGTTCTAACTCACTTGAATGAAGTTGCTCAACTACATTATAATTGTTATTTTTTATTAGACCTACAGTAGGAAGTATACAATTCTTCCTGATTAAAGTCACCTAAAGAACTGATTGGTTTGCTTAGAGAGTACAACTTAAATGTTCTCACCCCCACAAAAAAAGAGAGAGAGAGAGAAATATTTGAGGTGATGAGTATTAACTAATGGCGGAAATCCTTTCGTAATGTATACGTACATCAAATCACCACAGTGTACACTTTAAATACCTTAGAATTTTATTTGTCAATTATACCTCAATAGAGTTAGGGGTAAAAAGACCTACTTGGAACAAGGCAAGAATATAATAAATATTGATTGACAACCTATTAATTAACTCAGCTTGTGAGTGGTTTCAGGGAATGGCTGGTAAAAAACACCCAGAAAGTTTAAACAGCTTTCTGTGGATTCTATCATGGGCTTTATGTGGGGTAATCCACAGACAATTTAAGACTAGTAGGGACTAGGAACTCAAAAAATATTACATATGCTTAAGAGTTGTCAAGAAAAAAGCAACTTCAAGCATGGTTTATGTTCCACAGAAATGAACTAGCTTAAGGGCCATCATGTGACCTGAGACACTTTGGGAATTTGGACTACATAGACTGTGAGTGCTAAGGCTCCATCACGTTCTAATCCTTTGTCCCCATTAAATATCCAGGTCCTTGAGCTTACTTCACCCTGGGTCTGCATGCCTCTTATCTTCTTGAATTTCCATGCCAAGGAAGTCTAACTTCCTTAAGATTCCGAATCTGCCCTGTCAAGTGAACTGTATATAACAACGCATACCTACTGTGCAGATTAAACAAGAATATACTAGAATGTGTCTGCTCTGAAGAAGTGCACCAGCTCAAAGAAGTATGGAAAACAATGTTGAACAAAACTGAACAACTCTTAATGCAAGGACTTCTCAGAGCCCCTAATTCATCAATACATACAGAAAAAACTCTAAGACTATTGGTACCTAAAATTATTTGCCCATAAAGTACTTTTTTCCCCCCAAGACACACTACTCAGGAAAGCAATAACCTCTGCACATATTTGTTCCAAATTTCTTACTCTGGCTCATAAGTATATTCTTTCTGAACTACCCATACAATCAGGGATAAAACTGTTACACACCCACACACAAATGTGTACATATTACCAGATGCAAGTTTCAAACCAATAGAATTCCAATTCTAAACCATAAAGGCAGTTCCATGTCCTCTTACGGACACCTCAGTACCTCCTCCTGGATCGCTCTCTGCTCCTGTCTCTAGAACTGTGCCCACTTCTCTGGTGGCTGCGGCTGCGGCTTCGGCTGCTAGAGCGAGATCTGTGGCGATGGCGTTTCTCCCGGGATTTGGATCGAGTTCTCCTCTTCCGTTCCCGTGACATGGAGCGAGATCGATGTCGGCGATGCTCTCTGGACCTGGATCTACAAAAAAACATTTAGTTTTTAGTTTTGTCAACACTACATTGCTCATTCACTAAAGACTCTTTTTTAAACAAAAGCTATCCCTCAGTAGTGCTGCTTAATGCCAATTCTATTTCAAGTCAGCTAAATCTACACTAAAATAAATTGCCAGTTTATTAAATAACTACATACTAGGATTTCAAAACAAATATTAACACTAGCTCTCAGAGGTCAATCAATATTGTATAAATTTACATCAGGAATATAAGAAAGGAAGAAAACAATCTATACCACTACTACTCGCCAGGGATTATATTATCCAGATGCTTTATAGAATTAATTTCATTTAAACTTCTAAGACTTTTAGTATACTTTAGACAAAGTATGTACCTGATGGACATGGACAGAAGGGAGGAAAGGCATGAAAAAGAATATTGTTTAGAATAACTTACAACTCTCTGAGTTAGACAGGTTTCATATGACCATCAAAATAAGTTTGAATGTCCAAATATGGCTAGTCACAGTGCAATCGAAACACAGTAAGCTCTCTATTCAAGTAATATATGATTTAAGAGGAAGAAAAAAACTAACACGCATAAATCATTTTAGACACTTTACTTAAAATTGCAAAAAAAAAAATTTATAACAAGCATGTGAGTCTGGAGAAGGAAAAAACATTTTGAAGAAGTTAGAGGGAAAAACACTTCTGTAGCCTCCACTGAGTCACAAAACTAACTTGTGTACTGTATATGGGAAGGGTGGGGATGACACATGCAGAAGACAGAACAACTAAAAGAAAACAATGAGCCTGGCCAGGCGTGGCTCAGCGGCTGAGCATCAACCTAGGATCCAGGAGATTTCGGTTCGATTCCCCATCAGGGCACATGCCCGGGTTGTGGGCTCAATGCCCCGTTGGGGCGCACAGGAGGCAGCCAATCAATGATGACGCTCTCATCATTGATGTTTCTATCTCTCTCTCTCCCTTCCTTTCTCGGAAATCAATTCAGATATATTTTTTTAAAAAAGAAAACAATGAGAAAGAAAGGCACGTAACTTTGTTAAAAGAGTCACTTAATCTGATATAGTTCAAAAGCATGTTATTCAGTGTCACAATTTACAAACTGAGCTTATTTTCAAATGATTATTTTGTTAAGTTTAAAAGCATTCAGTGTATATCAACATAACAGTCAAAGAAAGGCACATACTGTGGACATAACATCAACCACAGTTGAATATAATATTTCCACTATTAAAAAAACGTATTTCTGATAAGCAGCAGGGGGAAAAGAATATAAAATTCATTCAATACCAGTTTTACCAAATGACATTTTGTTTAATCACTCATTTTGAGCTATTACAATAAATCTACTTATCTTTTTAGAGTAATCCATTCACTCAAAAAAAATTTACTAGGTGCCTACTACACCATTCTTGTAACTAGAGAGATTGAGCAGCAATTAAAGTCATTAACCTCGTGGAGCAGACAGGGGTGGCCAAAAGTAGGTTTAGTTTTGAGTATGGGGAACACAGAGGTTATTCTTGTATTAATATTTATTAATTATTGTATTATCCATAGGAACAATTGCAAACCTACTTTTGCCTACATCACATACTCCAGAAAGATGTCTACACAGATATGTGGGCAGTACATTAAAATAGGTCAGGTAGCAAAAAAAAGAAATGGAGTACCTTTGGAGGACTTGACCAGAGCTGATATGATTTATTTCACTTTTTAAAAAGCTCATTCTGGCCCTAGCAAGTTTGGCTCAGTGGTTAGAGCATTGGCCCTTGGACGGAAGGGTCTTGGGTTTGATTCCAGTCAAGGGCATGTACCTTGGTTGCAGGCTCCATCTCTAGCCCCGTCAGTGGATGAGTGGGAGGCAACCAATTGATTTGTCTCTCTCACATCAATGTTCTCCCCTCACCCCGAAAAGCAGTGGGGAAAAAACATCCTCAGGTGAGGATTAAAAAAAAAAAAAAAGCTTATTCTGTTTGATGTGTGAAAAAAAGACTGAGGTAGAGAGGGAGAGTGGGCAAGCACAGACGTTAGAGACCAGTTAAGATGCTACCATACCAAGGTAAGAAGTGGCTTGGACTAGAGTGGTAAGAATTAAATTTCTGGCCTGAATATCTAAAAATGTATTATATACAAATAGTTTATTTTTTTCAATAAAGGTAACCAACTTGGATTAATCAACCAGTAAACAGAATATCATCATTTAATGTTCATACTTCTCCTTCTGGATTTGAGAAGCTCACAACAACATAAATTAGCTAACCCAATTGGTCCTGTTTATTAATGTCTTAGTTTTTTAGTGTTTTAAGCAACAAAATGACCAAAAGATTCTAAAAAGTACTAAGGGGCATCTAACAGAAACGTAAGGTTTTTCTTTTATACTGACAAATGCTCCAGTTTACAGGGAAAAGTTCTTGGGAAACAGTTACTCTTTAGAGTTAAGGGTATTTGGAATGTTTCAAAAAGATGTGATCGAAACAAGAGGAACAGCAGGACTTGAGCAATGAGAACGGCATTCTGGGCGGGAGTACGTGCGTGTGGATGGTCCAAGGACAAGGAGAAGGATGGCAAGTGAAAGATCAAGGGTGATGAAATAAACCATGTTTTCCCACCTTTCTCAGGTAAAAAAAATTACCAGTAGCTAAGTAAAAATTGTAAAGAAAGGCTTCAAAAAGCCCCCAAATATGAAATTCAAAAGTCAAAGAAAAGGGGTATCCTGTCCTCTTCCTCTTGAAGGCTTAAGTGCCCCTTAATATAAAACCTTTGGTGATCAGTCACAAAGTAATAGCTCATATAACGTCACCATGGAGGTATAAACTAAACATTTTATTTTACTTATTTTTAATATGTTTTTATTTACTTTTTGAGAGAGAGAAAGGGGGAGGGAGGAGGGAGAGAGCGAATGAGCGAGAGAGGCAGAGAGAAACATCGATCAGCTGCTTCCAACAGGAGCCCCAATAGGATGGATGGGTATGTGCCCTGACCGGGAATCGAAACGGTGACCTTCTGGTGCATGGGACCAGGCCCGACAAACTGAGTCACACTAGCCAGGGCTAAACTAAACATTTTAGTTTCCCTTACTAACCTCCTGAACTCCTCATTCAAAAATGTATCCAACTATTTAAACTATTTACATTTTCAACAGGTACACACCTCTTAGAATGTCTTAGATGTATCACCAAATTGTGTTTCTTTAAAAAATAAATCCTGTCACATATTTACTCTGAGCTTCTAAAGAAGATTTTAAAGAAATATTCTGAAATATTTTAAGCTTCCCCTCTAACTCAAGGCACTGTATATAATTTTACTCTGATAAAACTAAATTACAGTGCATGAGTATCTACGGACCAGTTTCTTCTCAAAAGATACTGTGCTCAAACTTGAACTACAAAAAATTACGTGTACTAATTATTTCTCATTCATTTAAAAAAGATACTTAATCTGTAACAACTACCTTGAAAAACACAGCTTTACTACTTATACTTAACTTGTATTATACCTACCTTTTAGGATTCTTGCTATGTGATCGAGACCTAAAAAAAGAAAAAGAAAATCTATTTTTAGAAAAGTAACTATAAATGAGAATAAGTACACTGTATTCTTAAAATAACATACTTCCTGATTTCTAATTTTTATGCTAATTTTGTAAATATAAGACGTGTGTATGAACACAAAATTTTTCAAAATGCACCACAAAGTCTACATACCTCCCCACCTAGCTTATGAACTCTCTTAACTAGGAGATCTGGCTCTTAAAAACGGTATACATCACAACTCACTAATTCTCCAGAAGCCTCTTTCCAACCCTGGGAAAAAATACTTTGTTATTTATATCTGTCATTCCTTCTTTCCCTCTGAGAACAAAGTAAAATTTCTATGATCTGAGATGCATACACTTTGGCTCTACAACCTCATACTAAAATCCCTAGAACACCCAAATCAATATTACAACATGCTTACACCAAAATCAATCTTACATTTGTTTCTTTCCTTTTCTTAATCCTTACCCAAGAATATGTTTTGTTGATTTTTTAGACAGAGAGGGAGGGAGGAGGAAGAGAGGGAGAGAAACATCAATGTGAGAGAGAAACGCTGACTGGCTGCCCCCTACACGCACCCCGACCAGGGATTGAACCCACAACCTTTTGGTGTACAGGACACTTCAGCCAACTGAGCCACCTGGCCAGGGCACAACATGTTTCTTAACATGACACATGACACTTACATAAGACACTCTTTACATTTCCTAGCACACAACATTCTATAAACAGTAATAGCCAATATTATGGTTACTAGGAAGTCACAGGGATGTGTTCTGTGGAAGCTATACAGATGGTTGAAGCATGGCTTTGGACTCAGTCTGATTAGGTTTCAACTCTGGTTCCACCACTCACCATCTGTGTGACCTCAGCAGATCATATATATTCCTGCTCAGATTAGTTTGTCATTTGTAAAAGAGGGATAGTAATATAAACTTCACAAGGTGTAAGGATTAGATGAACTACTAGAGGTAAATCCTTAGCACAGTGCCTGGGAAAGAGCCCTCAATAATTTTTATCACCCTTTTCAATACTATAGCTGGAATCCTATCCTGTCTAATTCTGAACTCATAATTTCCTCATATTCCATGCTTAGTTACAATATTTCAAGTTCATATATAGATTAAAAATAATTTTTTTAAACATTACTGAAATACAGTACATTTTGTAATCATTGTTTAAAAAAAAAAAAAATTTGCCAGCTTTAGCCAGTTTGGCTCACTGGTAAGAGCGTCAGCCCGCAGACTGAAGGGTCCCAGGTTCGATTCTGGCCAAGGGCACGTACCTTGGTTGCAGGCTCAATCCCTGTCCCTGCCTGGTCAGGGCGAGTGTGGGAGGCAACCAATCAATGTGTCTCTCTCACACTGATGTTTCACTTTCTCCCTTCTACTCTCTCTGAAAAAGCAATGGAAAAAAATATCCTCTGGTGAGGATTAAAAAAAAAAAAATTTTGCCACACGGCTGTTAACAAAGAAAGATGTCATGTACTTTGTCATCTACAAATGTGAAAACGTAGTCCTCCAAATAATAATTTTTCTCATTTGATTCACCTCAGTTTAATCATTTATATTAGTGGCACTACATCCAGTTGAATTTTAACTTAAACTGAGACGTCTAATGCCATTTATATTGTTTTAAATATTACAATATTGGACAATATCAACATCTCAGTGTACACAAAAGAGAACAGAGATAGCGAGGCACTCTTTATTACCTCTTCGATACATTTTGAAGGAAAAAAACCTTGACTTTAATGGCCATGAAGTTAACATATTTGCATAAACACTGTTTTAAAGAGTAAACAAAAATTTCCCATTTTCATGTCCACATTAACATCTAAAATCTTGTAACAATCACATCTCACAGCAGAACTGGGGCTGTTCAACTTCAGACCACTCATTCATTACTCCATACCTCCTCAACTTTTCCCTTTCTTCTCTCTCCCTTTCTTCTCTTCGCTTCAGGCGTTCCTGGTTTCTTTTCTCTTGCTTCTCAGCTACAACTCTCTTAAAAAACAAAAGACAATGACAGTTTAAATAGTAATAAATGAGGAGCATTATTTATTGGGTCCATTTTTAATGAGCATTACCCTAAACTTTACCATATCTGGTTTCCAATATTGTACATCAAAATCTGCCAATAACAATTCAATTTTGATAAAATCATTAGGCTTACAAGTCTGGTTTACAAAATCTTTCCTCTTTTTCAAAATTTGTAAAATTTCATGGTCCTCCATAACTACTTCTTTTTTTTTTAAATTTATTTATCGATTTTTTGGAGGAGGGGAGCAAATGCACTTATTTGTGCATTCACTGGTTGCTTCCTCTATGTGCCCTGACTGGGGATCGAACCCAAAACCTTGGCATATCTCGACAACACTCTAACCAACTTAGCTACCTGGCCAGGGCCTTCATGACTTAATATTTCAAAATCATTTCTATAAAATTTTTCTCCTCTAAATGTTTTCTGGCATTATTTTGTATTTTTAAGAGAAATCAACCATTATAAATCACAAGTTCCCATGCTCTATGATTTCTAATACAGAAATGTCTTCTGCCACTTCCAATTACCATCCTAATGCTGCTGCTTTAAAAAACACCAGTAAGCCCTGGCCTGTGTGGCTCAGTGATTAAAGCATCAGCCTGTGAACCAAAGGGTCGCAGGTTCGATTCCCAGTCAGGGGCATATACCCGGGTTTCAGGTTCCAAACCTCTCTGCCTCTGGTCAGTCAGAGGGGTGTGCGAGAGGCAGCCAGTAGAAACCAGTTTCTCTCACACTGATGTTTCTCTCTCCCCCATCTACTCCCTCCCTCCCTTCCACTCTCTCTCTGAAAAGCAATGAGGATTTTAAAAAAACAAAAAACAACAACAAAAACGAACCACCTAGCCAGGCGTGGCTCAGCGGTTGAGCGTCGACCTAGGATCCAGGTGATTGGGGTTCAATTCCTGGTCAGGGCACATGCCTGGGTTGCAGGCTCAATCCCCAGTCGGGAGCGTGCAGGAGGCAGCCGATCAATGACTCTCTCATCATTAATGTTTCTATCTCTCTCCTTCTCCCTTCCTCTCTCTGAAATCAACAAATATATATTGAAAAAAAGAATAAGGGGATAGTATTTAAAGGTCTATCTCTCAAACATCATCCATTAAACCAGCTGGTATCTTCATTTAAAATCCTACCCTATTCGGTATCAATTACTAAGAGAATCATAGTCAAGCCCAGACAGCATGGCGCAGCGGTTGAGAATTGACCAAAGATCCAGGAGATCGAGGTTCAATTCCTGGTCAGGGCACATGCCCAGGTTGCTGGCTCGATCCCCAGTAAGGGGCGAGCACAAGGCAGCCGACTGATGCCTCTCTCATCATTGATGTTTCTCTCTCTCTCTCTCCCTCTCCCTTCCTCTCTCTGAAATCAATAAACGTATTTTTTTTAAAAAAGGAATCACAGTCAATAATGCTATATAAAAAGGCAACTACTACAGGTCAAAAGAATGAGGAGGTAAATTGGATAAAGTGAAAGATATTAATTTACCAATATACCTTTAATTCTTCAAGCTTCTCTCTTATTTCAATAAATCCCAGGTGCAGTTTACCCCCAAAATGATCAGCCAGTCGTCTGTCATTATCATGAAGACCTAAATAGGCAGAGCAGACTTCACAGACTCGAAGTTTCTGCTGCTGGAAACTGGAAGCTGGCATAGAATTCCGATAAACTTCCTAGACAAATGTGAAAAACAATGTTCATATAAACTTCATTGAACGTCATACAATTAAAAGACACTTTTCTAATGAAGAGAATGTTTTCTAATGAATACACAAAAGCATGGCTATTTTGTCATAAAAATTATAGATTCCCCATTACCCCCCATCCTCTATCTCAGGACCTCTCCAATGGAGATAAAATAATTAGAGCCCCAAATACTTTTTGCCAATAACTGCCATATATCTATCATGATACAGAACACAACTTTCAGAAAAGGTTTTCCTCAATGTTCTGTTTTCTATAATTTTTGTTAAAAATGAGATACAGCAACCCCAAAACTGTATGTCAGTGAAGGATCAAGGAAGTAGAGCCGCCCAACTTGCAGAGGAGGAATGCGCGAGCTCTATACTGTTACAATGTCCTTCCACTGCCTTCTTTCCTACAGATCATTTCTCCCCCTTTGGAAATGTGGACAGGGCATACAAATAATAAACTTCCTACTGAAAGTAGTAGTTCTGTAAGAGAAGAGATGAAAGGTGCCTTACTGAGATTTAGATGTCTTGTACTCAACCATTTAATCTATATTTAGTTCATTAATGAAATATTGTTAGTGGGTTTGTGTACCCACTGTATCCTGTTTTCCCTACTGACAGAATTCTGGTATTGTTTTGCACAGCTTAAAACATGACGTTTGCAAGCTTCTGTGTAGCTTTGGCTAAGGATATATAGATATAAGTGAACGTTTACTGGATATAATCTATAGGAAAGTTCTTTAAAAGGGAATCAATAGATTCAGAAAAAAGTCACCAATAACCTGTGAATCAAAAAGTGATGGGAAACAGAATATTCAGTTTCAAAAGTGTCAATACCAAAGTACTTATTAACACAGTAACGTCACAGTTATGGGAAAAGACCACTAATGTGTGCCTTCAGACAGGATGTAACATTACTTCAGTGGTATTCCTGACAAAAATCAAACAAACCCAAACTGGAGACCATTTTACAAAACAAATGTGTGAGCACTTGTCTCTCCAGTACATGGGTTTGACAGTAAAAAGTGATCTCTTGAGGTCCTCACGTATTTTTCATCGTGTTTAGTGCAATAGTGTAAACCTTAATTAACAGCATGGCACCCATACTAAGTGCCCAGTGATGCTGGCAGTGCCCCTAAACAGAGAAAAGTCATGTCTTTACAAGAAAAAGGTGAAGTGCTTGACACGTGTTGCAGACTGAGTTCTGCAGCTGCGGTAGCTGGCCATTTTGATATAAATGAATCCAGTGTAAGAACCAGTATCTTTTTTTTTTTTAAAGAAATTCATGAGGCTGTCAACTGCAGGGTGCAAAGTCCTTTTGCTTTTTATGAAATATCTTTTTATCTAATATTGAAAACGCAGCTTTTATGTGGGTACAGGACTGCTATAAGAAAGGCATACCAACAGACTCCAATACTAGTTAAGAAAAAAGCAATCATTATATGACAACTTAAAGCAAAAGGAAGGTGGAGGAGGTAAAGCTGGAGAATTTAATGCCAGCAAAGGATGGTATGGTAATTTTAAAAAGAGGTTTAGCTTAAAAAAAAAAAAAAAAAGTCAAGATAATGAGAAGCAGCTCTGCTGACCAAAAGGCAGCAGACAAGTTCCCAGATGCCAGTAAGAAAATCATTGAGGAAAAAGTGTATCTGTCAGAACAGGTTTTTAATACAGATGAAAGTGCCCTATTCTGGGAGGAGAAAAAATACAAGAGACATTTACTATTAAGGCAGAGAAGCAAGCACCAGGATTTAAAGTAGGAAGTGATAGGCTAATTCCACCATTTTGTACAAATGCAGGTGGGTCTATGATCAAGAATGCCCTTATCTACAAAGCTGCTAGCCCCCAGGAAAGAGAAACACTAGCTGTCAGTCATCAGTTGTACACCGAGAACCCTTTTCTTGATTGGCTCCATTGATGCTTTGTCCCTGAAGCCAGGAAGTACCTTGCCAGTAAGGGACTGCCTTTTAGAGTTCTTTTGATATTGGACAATGCCCCTGGCCACCCAGAACCCCATCAGTTCAACAGTGAAGGTGTTGAAGTCGTCTACTTGCCCAAGAACACAATGTCTCTTAACACATTGTTTGCGGGTAGTTTTTAGTGCGCGCTCTACTACCAGTCAACGTAAAACGTATAAATACGTTTCCCACATACAATGTGTTAACTCAGCCTCTAGATCAGGGGTCACACGGATCTTTAAGGCTCATTACACCCGGGACTCTCTGAAAAGAACTGCCTGCTATGGAAGAGAACCCTGATAGAGAGGACATCATGAAAGTCTGGAAGGATTCCACCACTGAAGATGCCTCACTGTTGCAAAAGGGTGCGTGTGTGTGTGTGTGTGTGTGTGTGTGTGTAAAGGGTTTTCAAGATAAGGATCTTGGAGAAATACAAGAGTTAACAGACATTTTGTCACCAAAGCTGTGTCCTCTCCCACCCTCCCGACTGTTGAAATCTTATGTACTTATCTTCCCATTTCAGTTATAGTAAAAACACAAAAGAGGGAACAAAAACCACCCAGAGTGCCTGAACCAAGATGGCCTGAATCTGCCCTCCAAGAGATCCTGTAACTGGGACCATATTAAGGAAGAAAAGAGGTAATATTCCAATCTGGGAAGAGACCGACCCTCACTGTGTTGCCCCCACAGCAATCTCCCCAGACTTCTCTAAAGGAGAAGTTGATCTCGGAGTTTGACTCCGTTCTCTGGCCATTGAATAAAGCTCGTGCTGCTGAATGCTCAGCTTCAGTTTCGTTTTTGGCTCAGTGACATCAAACGGGAAAAGGACAGAGGGCACTGCCTGGGGACCAGGTCCCCGCAGTCTAAACTGGTAATAATCACACCACAGGAATTAACAGAAGATGACTTGCTGGAGATGAGTATTTGTGAACCGGAGCCAGACGAGGAGGAAGATGATGTAGAAGCAGCGCCAGGAAACAAATTGACATTAGTCCCGCAGGGTTCCGATTATTCAAGACGGCTTTTGGCTGCTCATACTACATGGACCCTTCTGCGACACGACTGAAACTAAGCCGAACGGCGGAAGGAGGATTGGTACCGTATAGAAACATTTTTAGAGGAATGAAAGAGCAAAAAAGCCAGACAGGAGCGGTGGGGTACCTCCGTGGAGTTCCGCTGAGTGAGCTGCCTCTCCCGCCTCCCCTCCCTCTCCGGCCTCCGCTTCCCCTCAGCCCACTCGCGCGAAGGCGACGAGGAGCCCTTCACGATAACCCACTTCCACTCAGTGAACAGGAAGACACCTCCTGCCGCACAGTTCACAAACTTCTCTGCTGTGATGTGTATGCCTTCCTGTGAAAAATCTAGTGAGCGTACAGCAAATAGGTTAAGCGTGAAAAATTTCTGTCATGATCATCATTGCCTAAGCAGTCATCATGTAAAATTTCATGTGCAAGACTTGTATGGAATGAGACAGCCTGTGGTTATACAGGAATTTTATGATATTTAACATAAAATAACATGTTTTTGTTAATAGTTGTCCTACTGTTTTATAACTTTGCTTTTAAGGAATTACATTACCATACCGTATGTCTCTCTCTCATAATTGGAGGAACTGCATTTTAGCCTATCATCACAGGTAAGTAGTTTTAAAAATATATATATATATATAACAATGTTTCCAATACTGTATTATAAATATGACTGGAATACTGTATGCCATTAAAATTTTATAATGATTCCTTAGTGTATAAGCTAGGGTACTGTGAAGCAATCTTATTGATTACCGTACACCAGCAATTTTCAACTGCTGTGCTGCAAGAATTTTTAAAACATGCAATACCTGATTATTTAGTCAGGGGCACTGCTCACTTTTTCCCTAGACTGTCAAATAAAAAAATGACAATAGCACTGGCCAGTGTGACTCAGTTGAAATGGTGTCTTGTACACCAAAAGGTGGTGGGTCTGATTCCTGGTCAGGGCACATATCCAGGTTGTGGGTTAGATCCCGTCAGGGGTTGGAGCACACACGGGAGGCAACCAACTGATGTCTCTCTTTCAAATCCATGTCTGTCTGTCTCTCTCTCTCTCCCCCCTCCCTTTCTTCTCTCTAAAATAATCACTAAAAGACAACAGCCAACACCACCAATAACCATCCAGTGTGAATGAATCAAAATTATACCCATTTTTCTGTCAGATCGACAAAACACGTGTTTTGGTGTGCCGCATAATTTTAGTAATTAGTTTATGTGTGCCACAGGATGAAAAAGGTTGAAAATCGCTGCACTAGGAGGCTACCATAAAACAATCATATTACTGCTTCTTCATTATTTTAGCATGAATTGCTGTTATAACTGTAAATAAATATAAATTCCTTTTTCACAGTATCTTCATTTTTGGTGTCTAGTGTTGGTTATATGTTAAACATCAAGTGTCTTGTATCGTATAAGACAGTCTTGATATAGGTACAGATGACAAACTTATGATATCAATAAATACAATATACTACTATAAATGTATTTTCCTTTCACTAGCTTTTATTGTAAGAATACTGTATATAATACATATAACATACAAAATCTGTCTTAATCAACTGTTTATGTTATCAGTAAGGATTCTAGTCAATAGTAGGCTATTTAGTAATTAAGTTTTTGGGGAGTCGAAAGTTATAAGCAGATTTTTTACTGCGAGAGTAGAGGGGTCCATACATTGTTCAAGGGTCAACTGTAAATCTTTAAGTACATATATATGAAGTTTGTGAAAACTGCAAAACAGTCATGCACTGCATGACGTTTAGGTCAGTGACAGACCGCACATACAATGGTGGTCCCATAAGCTTATAATGGAGCTAAAAAGTTCCTATTGCCTAATATATTACACAAATACCACTGTGTTACAGTTTCCTGCAGTATTCAGTATAGTTAACATGCTTTACAGGTTTGTAGCCTAGGAGCTATAGGGGAACAGAATTTGTCATCCTAATATATGTGTATTCGGCCTAAGGATTATTTCAGGCTGGTTAATTTACAGAAATAGGAGACATGGGAGAAGCTCTGAAACCAATTAGAAGTTACCCTTTTTAAAAGACTTATTTGTGAGGGATATCTCCAGTTATAAGGGTGTACTAGGAAGAGGGGGATAACCTTAGTGACCTTATATCTAGAACTCAATGCAAAAGAGGACTTAAATCTACATAACAACCTTATCCGTTTACTGTGCTTTTTCCTGATAACTTCCCATAACTGACTCCCCCCAGTCCAACATCTTCTGTCCTCAGCTAAAGATGGTACTTAAGATAGTAGCTTCACTCTTTGTCCGACATCTTGTCGAGGCAGCAGAGTGGCCCTGCGCTCGGAATCTTGCCATGCCACCCAAAGATGACAAAAAGAAGAAAGACGCTGGAAAGTCGGCCAAGAAAGACAAAGACCCAGTGAATAAATCTGGGGCCAAGGCCAAAAAGAAGAAGTGGTCCCAAGGCAAAGTTCAGGACAAGCTCAATAACCTAGTCATGTTTGACAAAGCAACATATGACAAACTCTGTAAGAAGTTCCCAACTATAAGCTTATAACCCTAGCTGTTGTCTCTGAGAGACTGAAGATCCGCGGCTCTTTGGCCAGGGCAGCCCTTCAGGAGCTCCTTACTAAAGGACTTAATAAACTAGTTTCAAAGCACAGAGCTCAAGTAATGTACACAAAAACACCAGAGGTGGGGATGCCCCAGCTGTTGGAAAAGATGCATGAACAAAAGGTCCCACACCAGCTGTACATTTTGAAAAATAAAGCTTTATTAAATCAAAAAAAAAAAAAAAAGACAGTAACTTCAGCCATTTGAGTTACCCAGTGTTCCTGGGTCTCTCCCATATATACAGGAGGTATACATGTTACTAAACTGCTGTCTGTTTTTCTCTGGTTAATATGTCTTTTTACTACAGGGATGTCTCAGCCAAGCACCCAGAAAGGTTGAGGAAAAATTATTTTTCCTCCCCTACAGAACAACAGGCTATACCATATAGCCTAGGTGTGTAGTAGGCTATACCATCTAGGTTTGTTTCAGTGCACTCTGTGATGTTCACACAACAATGAATTCAGCTAACAAATTTCTCAGAAAGCATCCCTGTTGTTAAGCAGCTATATATGAAGAAAAGTAGTAACACTCACTGGCTTCATTACCCAGTTTATTTGGGGAAACAAACTGGCCATAAAATACTTTGCATTTTAAAACTCATAACGTTTAATTTCTGGATTGAAAAATTACATTTAAAGATATCCTAAAAATTAAGACATTAAAATGATCAAGAATGGCTACATGGTATATCTTTTACATCCTATTACCTTTAATATGTGTTTTAATATTTGAAGTGGATTTCTTGTAGCTAGTATGTAGCTAAGTCCTTTTTGAAAAAATTCAGTCTCAAAATCTCTGCCTTTTAAATGGAATGTTTAGACCATTTACATTGAATGTAATTTTTGGTACAAGGGGTTTAAATTTCCCATCCTTCTCTTTATTTTCTATATGTCCAATCCATTGTTTGTTCCTTTCTTCCTGCCTTCTTTTTGGTTAAGTATTTTTTTAGAATTCCACTTTATTTCTACTATGAGTTATACCTATTTTTTTCTCTAGTAGTTTCTCTAGGGCAGGGGTGGGGAACATCTGGTCCACGGGACATATACAGCTGGCCAAATCATTTGGTCTGGCCCTGCTAAGGCAACCGCAGGCAGGACTCAAAATTCAACAAACCCAGCTTTTTTCATACCTAATTTTTAAGTTGATAATTTTGTATGGCCTGCAAATGATGTTATAAATATCCAAATGGCCCTTGGCAGAGTAAAAGTTCCTCACCCCTGCTCTAGGGTTCATAGTATACAACTTTAACTTAGAAAGCTAGAGAGGCTTTAATATTAAAATGAAAATACAACATGAAAATCTGTGGGATGCAGTGACAGTTGTGCTAAAAATCGATAACCTAACTAAGCTTCTGCCTTAAGGCTATAACAACAAATTAAACACAGGTGTGATGAAGTTAGAAGTAATGGAGACTTCTGCAAAAGTGGAGAACATAATCCCATATGAAGGCATTCAATTTCCTAAAAAAAAAACAAAACACCAGAACTCTGTCTGCAGGATATCATATTTTAACTATACTGTGGAGGAAGAGAAGAGGCTCCCAAGGTGCTAGCAGATTGTACTGAGATGGGAAGAGAAGAGAGAATGCTATAGTTGCCTGGGTGTAGAATGGACAATAGGGTACGATAGTAACCAGATATACAGGGGG